GTACTGCGTACGGAACTACCAATCATATGCGTTTGATTTTTGTTTACTTGGTTAGCCTTTCGGATGAGTTGAATCTTGATTTGAATTTTGAATCGTGATCCGTCGTCATGGTTGACTTTGCGTTGTATACTTGGTAATGCATTGCCCAATTTGGTTCTTGCAAAGTTGATGGAAGGCTTGAAGAAGTGTTTTTTTATTTTTTCTTTTTCTATTTTAATGATGTAAAGATCTGTATGTTCTGTATACTGATGCATGTATACTGATGCAGGTAGGAGCAATCGCGCCTCAGAATTTGGAAACTTTGTTGCAGAGTATTCATGGGTGTCTTAGCAGCTCGGATTGGGCTACTCGAAAGGCTGCAGCCGATACATTAAGTGTCTTATATTTGAACACCGACAACATAACAGCAGAAGGAGCTGCTTCTACACTGAATGCACTCGAGGCTTGTCGGTTTGACAAGGTTCGTGTTCGAAATAATATCCTGTTGAAATGTCGTTCAACGTGTCTCTTCTACTGTACTTATTATGAATTTATTGCACCGTTTTCTGAACAAGATCGTTGCGTAATTTTTTCTGATATTTTCCCCCATTTACCAGACGTCGGGTAATAAATGGTCTTTGTTGTTGTAGAACTTTGTCTTTACATGTCTTTTGCACATTTATTTAGCCTTCTGTTAATTGCGTGATGGCTTCTACTGCAATTACCATGTCGTATTTTCCATTTATGGTATTTCCTCTGAGCATATATTATGCTCTTATGATCATGACTTAATCAAGTCAAATTAGACTCATTCAACACTAATATTGATGTTAAAACATTTCTCAGATAAAACCCGTACGAGAAAGTGTCACCGAGGCGTTGCAACTTTGGAAGAAAACAACAAGAAAAGGCGACGGATCTTCAGACGAACATCAAACTTCATCTCATGGTTAGCATTACATGAAATTGTTTTTTTTTTAATAGCTGACAAAGAATTAAAGCAATTTTCATTGACTATTTCAAATCCTTCTAGATGGTTCTGAATCTGCTGATGCGTCAGATAGGAAAGATCTTTCAGATCTTGGTAACAGAGAAATCTCAAAATCGGTTAAGGATTCATCGTGTGGATCATCTCCAACTGATCCCAATTTCGAAGGCCAAGGAAACAACTTCTTAGACAAGGCAGTTGGGATATTAAAGAAGAAAGCACCTGCAATAACTAACAAAGAATTAAATCCAGAGTTTTTCCAGAAACTAGATAAAAGAGTTACGGACGATTTACCCGTAGAAGTGATTCTCCCTCGCCGATGTGGCAACACTTCGAATTCTCAAAACGAGGAAGAATCGGAATCGAATGCAGATCCAAGTGAGAGGAATAGGCCAAACTCACAGGCGGGTGACCACAGAATTATCGATGACCGGAGCGAATATAATACTCAGAGGGATTCGAATGAAGGGTTTATGAATAATAAAGGAAATTGGATGGCTATTCAGCGACAGTTGTTACTTCTCGAAAGGCAACAGACTCATCTCATGAACATGTTGCAGGTTTTTTCTTTTTTTCGTTATTGCATTCTTATATAAAGAACATAGTTTCTTGAAGTTTATTAACGAAATTGCCTTTGCATTGCAGGACTTCATGGGTGGGTCCCACGACAGCATGGTGACCCTAGAAAATCGAGTACGTGGGCTCGAGAGAGTAGTTGATGACATGGCACGGGATTTATCCATATCATCCTCAAGTAGAAGGTTCGAGAGTTCTTCTAACAGGTCTCTCGGAAAGTACAACGGCCATCCGGAATATTCCGGAAGCAAGTTAGGAAGAGGGGGGAGTCACTTTGGCGAGAGGTTTTCTGGATTTGACGGTATTGCCCCTGCAATGAAACCGTGGGATTATCATGCATACGGTAAAAATGGGCATTCGGTTTCGAGGAGAGGTAATAATAAATCGGAGATGGAGGCTTCTGATTTAATGGGTAGCAGAAGGGCTTGGGAGAAAGGCGGAGTGGGGCCCGTTAGGTTCGGTGAGGGGCCTTCGGCGAGGAGCGTTTGGCAAGCTTCGAAAGACGAGGCTACATTGGAAGCAATAAGAGTAGCCGGTGAAGAAAATGGAATTGGAGTTGTTCGAAATAATAACGCGAGAGTGGCTATGCCTGAAATGACAGCCGAAGCAATGGGCGAAGATGGAGATGTGAAAGATCGAGACCCCGTTTGGAATTCTTGGACTAATGCGATGGATGCTCTGCATGTGGGCGACATGGATTCGGCTTTTGCTGAGGTGTTGGCGATTAGGGACGATGTTTTGCTGGTGAAGCTTATGGATAGAACAGGGCCCGTTATCGACCAGCTGTCGAATGAGGTGGCGAGTGAGGTTGTGAGTGCTGTTTCGCAGTTGCTTGTGGAGGAGAATTTGTTCGACATATGCTTGTATTGGGTTCAACAGGTAATAAATAAAATCATCTGTCTAAAACTGCCATTTCACATTCCCATAACAAAAGCAGGAAAATATTGTAAGCTAATTTATTTATTAATTAATTTATTTTGAATTGCAGTTGGCAGATATTGTAATGGAAAATGGAGCAGATGTGTTGGGAATTCCAATGGAAGTGAAGAAGGAGATATTGTTGAATTTGAATGAAGCTTCTTCTTTAATTGAACTCCCTGACGATTGGGAAGGCTCTTCTCCCGATCAAATGCTCATTCAGTTAGCTTCGGCTTGGGAAATCGATCTTCAAAATTTCGGGAATTAATTGAATCGACTTTTTTTTTTTTGGTTGGGCTTGATATTATTAGAGCATTTGAAGCTGCGCTTATTTTTCATGATTATTTTTCGTTTGTTCGTGCGTTTCGTATATTTTGTTTGGTTTTTCGAGTATTTGACATGCGAAAACGAGTTGAAAACGAAGGAATTACGATTTACGTGACATGTAATTAATTACTAGCTTGGTTGTTGTTGCTTTCAATTTGAGAAGATGAAATTATTTGATGGAATTAAACTATTGTTTCCTTTTTGCAAATTATAAGTTTAATATTTGGTACCATTAATCATGATTGATTAAATAATTAAGTTTTATTAAATATAACTTGGTAATTTCTAAACAAAATAAATAGGAGGTATTAAATTTCTGCTGCTATTTCAGAAATAGCACAACAAGAGCATCAACTACTTAATTATACACAGCAAAAAGATCTTACAATCTCTCCACAAACAAAGATTACAAAATTTTCAAACCACCCCAAAAATCGGAAAAAGATGTACTAAAATCGACTCGGAAAAAAAAAAGAAAAAAAAAAGATATTATTTACTTGGCAGAATACCAATTTTGAGCACATTTGGCATCAACAGACAAACCGACTCTAAGGAAATTTTCTCCATCGAAAGGCTTTGACATGCAATCAACTACTATATCCTTCGCCTCTTCGCCCGATTCTGTTGGGCCTTCTAAAATCACTTCATCGTGAACCTGTTTACGTCAAAAATTAGCTTTGTATCGAATATATAAGCAGAAACTATATATATATATATATATATATATATATATATATATATATATATATCTGACTACTGCTTTACAACTTTCTTCGTTTTTTTTTTACCTGTAATAAAAGTCTCCATCCTAATTCCTTCAGACGAGCATTTCTTGATATTTGCAACATAGCGCACATAGCAACATCTGCAGCACTTCCCTGCAAATTTTTAATTTTTTTTCAAGTTAAAAAATATGTCAGCATGATAATAATAATAATAATAATAATAATAATAATAAAAAGAAAAAGAAACTTCAAGAAGGGTAAAATAGGCACAAAAAAAGGACCTGCACAGGGGTATTGATGGCAGCACGTTCTATGTGATTTCTATGTGCTGAGCTGGCGTTCTTTAGAGACGGGAAGTGGCGGGCCCGTCCTAACAAAGTGTAAACGCGGCCATATTTACGAGCTTCTTTCTTACGTTCTTCCTGCCAAGAAAGCACTTCTTGTCTGTCGCTGTACCAGAGATTAACTGTTTGCTGAGCTTCCTCGCGAGATACCTGAAAAAAACACAGAATAAATAAATGATTGCACAAATTTTTCAAAATATCTGTACTGCAATTGAAAAATTGAAAAAAAAAAGGAAAAAGGAAGGAGCTAATGTGTACCTTCCAGTCTCGGGCGAGTCCCACTGTAGTTTTTCCGTATGCGATCGAAAAGTTAAGCATCTTAGCTTTCCTTCTTTCAGAAGCAAAAGCATCCTGATTTTTTTTTATTAAAATAAGTGACAAAGATGGTCGTTACTAGAAGTATAGAAGCACTACATCATGAAGCAAGGGGTGCTACTAGGGCAAGAAATTGGATTGGATCGGATCGGCAGAAATTGGATTGGATCGGATCGGCAGAAATTGGAAAGGGAAAACCTGTGTTCCAAAATCGGAATTTTTTGGATCGTAATCGGCGGAACTCAAGAATTTCCAACTTTTTAGTCGCCTAAAATGCAAAATACATAATACTACTGATATCCTAAGTGTAATTTCCCGAAAAAATGGAACTTCCGGAATTAAAATTCGGATCGAAAATCGGAATCCCATATATATATATATATATATATATATATATATATATATATATATATATATATATATATATATATATATTTCAAGTCCAGTCCAAACTTTTTTTTTTGGGGGAAAAATCAGAAATTGGGATTTTTTTCCACGATGAACAAATATTGAAAAAGGGATTGAAGATCGAACCTTAAGCAAAGGAGCGGGAGGTTTATCACCGTCGAATCGAGGATGCCACTCAAGAAGCACATCTTTCCGATCGACAGCTTCGCGAATGTGCGGATACATATTCATTGCAGTTCTCGAGTGGAAATCTCCGCCAGCTATAAAAGCGTTCAACATGCTCTTACAGTTTGCCAGGTGGGCAAGAATTCTAAGTTCTAACTGATTGCCAAAACACATTTCATTAAAAAAAAATTAATAATAATAATAACACAAAAAAAATTATGGTTTTTTAAATTACCTGTCCGTAATCAGCAACTATCAACGAGTTGCCGGGTGCAGCTATAAATGCCTGACGAATCTTGTAACGGTCCTTCTCTAATGCGGGTTGGTTCTGGATTTTAAGAATTGCAAATATTGTAGCTCGAGAATAGTTTGATTAAAAAATAAAATATACACCCATAATTGTAGGAAAATAAGATTTGGGGTAAACCTGTAAATTAGGTCTTCTAGCAGATAATCGTCCAGTTTCTGTATTGATATTCAACGAACAATGTATTCTTCCGTTCTTGCCTGATATATGGTTTCCCTGAATTAGACATCGAGAATTAAGGTTAAAAACAATGGAAAATTGTCCCTTTTCTTAGTCCTAATAACAAGATTTGTGTCCTTAGATAATTCAAAGTCGGAGATTGATAAATTTCAACTTCAGGGCTCCAAATAAAAAAAGGAAGGGGACGGAGAAAAGTAATTGAATCTTGAATCAATCATTGCACATATATACACCGCATATATTTTTCGCGCAATTAATCAAAAAATTAATCATGTGGTAAGTATAGCAGCAAATAACCTGTAAAGGCATAATGAAGTTCGATATGAGAGAGTCGATCGAGCAAACTTCACACAAAGCAGCAATAGCATGACAAGCCTCAGCTCCCACCTGTCCACCGCCAAAGGCGGCATAAGCCGCTCCATAAGCTGACGTGTCGGTGGCTACACTTGTGGACGATGATGGTGCTCCATTGTCCTGCAATGATTTCTCAATCGCATTTTCAGACAGTTCTTCATCATCATTATTGTCTTCATCCAAGAATTCAAAATCGGCAGACACTTTTCCCGCAAGACTTTTTAAAACATCTCCACCAACTGAAGGCCAACCACTGGCGGTGAACTTATCGGCCTCAATGTGAACACCATCAGGCTTACGAAGTACGATTTTACGATATTTTGTGGGGTTCTTTTTGCCTTCTTCGATTATGTTCTCCGTGTTTGGAATTTTGAAATCCTTTTCCACTGGAAGAAACTCACTGGGGTCCTTGCTGTAAATAAGATATAAAAAAAGAATAAAGTATATGCAAACATATACAAGAAGAAAAAAAATATCGATGTTTTTCTTGGCTGAAATGCACTAATTATGCATGAAAAAGCTGCAGAATGAAAACAATTTTTACCTCCTTAATTAAAGTCTCGATTTCATCACCAAAGGCCTTAATTAAATAACTTAGATTCCTCCATTAATAAAATACCAAAAGCTTACCTGTTCTGTATACCACCAAAAAATATCTGGCGTAACTGTGTATCACTCCCCACATTCATGTGTTTCGCATCGGGGCAATACTTCGAAGCCCACTTACGAAATCTATCGGCAGCAATTTGCTGCTCTGCTTTAGCCACCTTTTCGATCCCAGCGAGGTACGAACGGTCAACAAGCATTCCCTCAGTCTCCAATTTCACAAGAAGCTCACCAAACGGGCGTAAATATCTCTGGTAATTATCGAACATCGACCCTTTGAAATTTCCATCAACACTCCAAGGTGTTTTCAAGAGCTTTTTCTCCAAACTCTCGTAAAGACCCAATGTGCTTATAGAATCCAAAGCGGAGTAGCAAACCCACAATTTTTTCTCGACCCTTTGCAGCTCTTCGACGGGAGGGATTGTGATTAATTTCCCTTCCTTTCCGTCTTTCTTGATTTTTTTCTTGCCGAATATGTTCTTCATCGATACTTTTCCAATCACCTTTTCGCCGGGGCCTCTCTTAGCATCTGACATGACGTTCGAATCACCTGTTAGTGCTTCTAGAGAGTACCCACCCTCTGTCCGCCTGGCGGAATTCCATAATCGAGCCATGTGCATTGTATCCGCATGGAAACCGGATAATTTGAGCCCATAATTCTCTATCACGTGATTATCAAAGCTATAATTGTGCCACACCTACAAAAAAAACAAGGAAGCTGAGCATAGTGACTTAATAGATGAATCTTGAAAGTGAAGGAGAATAGGAAGAAAAAAAAAAACGATTACTTTTTTAATGGAGGGGTTTCAAAAAACGGAGCAAACTCTTGAAGAAGATCTTTGCCGCCTCCATCGAGGATATCCACCCAAACACAGGATTTCCCTTCGCCAAAATCAGCTTCCGAGCCAGAATATATACTAAAACACGTAATTTCTCCATGGTCCACCGGTGTTTCTTCTTTAACATCAATGTTTGCTACCTATACAATTATCAGAATTCACAAATGGAAAAGCTAAGAAATTGGCCCAAAATTGAAAAGGAAAACATGGGAATAAACATATTAATACATGCCTCTGTATCGCATGCGTGAATGAGGTTTTTGTACTTTGTGGTGAGCAAACTCACTACTCGCCTAGCTTCAGTGACGTCATCGACCACAAGAACCTTGTCATAGATCTGACTAAGCCTCTCGTGAAGTTCCGTGACTTCAGAAGTAGCGACTCTCTTGCTCGGAAGTTCACTAATATTGTCGCATGAAACAGTTTTTTTATTAGCAGAACCGGATTTAGAAGCAGTTTTTATTTTGACAACTACATTATCCTTGACATTTATAGAATCTCGATCTCCCTCATTTTCCAACGCGATTTTATCATCACCGTTTGTGTATGGAACTCTGTTAGATCTATCTTTAACTAGTGGCATTTGGCTATGGAAAACGTTATATCCATTTTGTCCACCATTTCCAGCAAATTCTCTCTCGTTCCTGCTTAATCCACTACCTTCTCCTCCTTCATACTGCCAAAAGAAAAGAAAGAAAAAAAACCCATGATCAGAATGCTTCGAAATTAGTAATTAGTATAATGAAATAATCTCTGCCGGTGTTAAAGATGAATCTCGTACTATCTTTTTCCCATTAGAGTTGACTTTTTCTGCAATGGCTTCGTCTTGAACTGTTCTAAGGTTAGCGGAAGTGCTATTGCCATGAGTAAATAGTCTCTTGTTTCTTTTATATTCTTCGGTAGCTTTACCCCAGTCTTCAACAGTTTGCCCCGGACCGAATATTCCATACAAAGACGCTTCGTTAGCATCTTCCCTCCTTTCCGCCTCCCTATGCACAGATGGCTTTTCCAACTGAGGAAATGCAAAATTATTTCTCTGTCGGTTGTGCAATTCCCTTTCGTTATTCTGAAAGGTGCTGTATCTCGATCGTTGGTTCAACGCAAGTAAGTCGGAATTGATAGCTCCATTTGCGACGTTTGCACTCTGCGGGGCTCTATCTTCTAGCCTGCAAAAAAAAGAGTATCGATGCAACTCAAAAATGCCGATAATGGACGTTTCGAACTTCAAAAAAGCAACTAAAAGACCTCATATATACGAGACAAATAGACACACACACACACACACCAAAGCCCATATGTTTATCAACAAAATACAAAATTTCAAAAACCCTAAGGGTTTATGCTCAATAATCCAAACAGGTCTATAATAATAAAATTCACACACACACAATTGAATTAATCATCAATTAAAGCATAAAATAAACACAGAGAACAGTGGAAATTGAGAAGAAGAAGAAAGCGAACGAACCTGCAGAAGGTTCTTCCGCTAGTCGAAAATGGGGAAAACTGAGTGGAGGAGCGGCAGAACCAGAAGTAGGGCGGGCGGAAGGAGGAAGGGCGGAAATGGGTGGACTGAGGAGAGAACCCCATTTTAGCCATAAGCTCTGCTGCAACTCTGCCCAGCTTGTTGCTAGCTCCTCTGTTGGCAATGGTAGTACAAAAAGCTGCCGTTTTGATAAATTTATTTTAGGGTAAAATAATAATATTGGCGGCTGGTAAAATTAGAGGGGTTTTACAGGGGTTTATCGGTTGTTTGTCAGGGAGCGGAGGAGTGGCGGAGGGTGGGTGGGGGGCGGGGGGGGGCGCAGTGGTCACATGCGTTTCGAGTTTCTAGAGTGAGAAAGTGGGGACTGTTTAGAGAGAGAGAGTGTGTGATGGAAGAGGGAAGGCAAAGAGCAGACCACATAAGCAGAAAAGAATTTAGCCTTTTATTAATTATTAATTATTAATTATTTATTTTATTCTGTTTTTTTTGGACCTTTGTTTAACCCTGAAATTATGGTACAATACCAGGAGTGGCATTTCGGTAATAATTATTCAGTTCAGAGTATGAAAAATATTTAGAAGTTTCTTAATTTTTTTTTTGTAAATTACAAACAAGCCCTTATGATGCACCTAAATTACAAGAATTCTCTCTTATCTTATATGCCAAATTACAATTATCCCCTCTAATTAGATTAAGTTTGGGAATAAATTGCATACCTCTTTTTTTAATCAATGAATAAATGGCATACCCTATCAAAATGAAGAGAGCTAAATATATAAGGTGTTAAAAATATCTTATAAAATGTCTTAGGTGGTGTTTGCAAAAGTTAGTGATTATGAGTTAATTTGGAATTAAGTGTTTATTTTAAAAAATTGAGAATGTTTGTAAATTAGCTGGAAAATCAAGTAAAATAGAAAAAACACATTGAGTACATGTGTGCTTTTAAAATTATAGCTTAAAACAGCTTATTTTAAGAGAAGCAAAAGTAGAAGTTTGTATTGCAAACACCTAAAAACAAATTATGTGCAGAAAAAAGCTAATAATCTATTTCTAAAATTTTGTGTAAACACCATCTTAATTGTTTGGTAATTTTTTTTAAAGATCTTAAAATCACAAAATAAAGTTGCTAGAAATGAGAACTTTAAGATTTTTTTTAAATAAGTACATATATTTATATTTTTATTTAAGATCTTATAATTAGTAAAATAGCTTATAACTTAAAAACTCTTTATCCATATACTTTAAAATTAATTTTAAAAATAAGATGTACAACTTAACAACCCTTAAACAGCTTATCAAATGTAAAAGTTTATCAAATGTTTAAAATAAGTTGAGGTATTTTGGGAACTCGGGTTTTCATGGGGCTATTTGAATTGAAAGATTAATTATGGACCTATTAGTACTGAAACTTGTATTTGCGGGCATATATCGAATTCACCTTAATATATAGTGTTTTCCTTAATTTAAGAGTTCTTTTTTTTTTTTTTTTTTTTTTTTTTTTTTTTTTATTTAGGAGCATCAATTACGTACACTAAATAATCTTTAGAATCTCTAATTCAATTTATGTTAATGTAACAAAGAAATTCTAATAAAGTAAACCCTTAAAAACAAATCAAGTTCGTCTTAGAAAAACATTCAAACTTTTCGTCGAACGAGAGAAGAGAGACAAAGAGAGAGAAACGAGTAGCATTTCCTATTTTCATTTTTTTTAAATAAAAAAAAAAAAGAAATTCTTTTATACATCCGAAGAAAAATACATTATTATTCTTCTTCGTTTTTGTTTTCGTTTTCGTTTTTGTTTTCGTTTTCGTTTTCGTTCTCGTCGTCTTCGTCTTCTTCTTCGGTTTGGCATTTGCCGGTGGATAAATATTCCAAAGCGGTAACGACATCGCTTATCAACGGTCGAGTGGTGGCTTCTTCTTGAAGGCACATAGCTGCTATTGCCAGAGCTTGATAGAGTGCCTTCTCTGGGTAGTTCCCTTCCATCAATGGATCTGCCATTAGATGGAACTTCTTCTTGTCTTTGAACAATGGCTCCGCCTGTCAATAGTCATTACATTTTTTTTGCTAATGCCAGGATTTTTATATTCGTGCGGGGATAAAATGTTACACTAATGGAGAATAATACTGCATTGACTCGAAATATAACAAATCTCTAGTACATATATTATAAAAGAAGAATTTTTTGTATTGGGGATGGAAATTGGAACGAAGTTTCCGAATTCTGCTGGATCAAATTCGAATGTTTTCAATTTCTTTTGAAAAGAAATTGAAATACATATTAGGTTCTGAATTCTGACCCGATTTTAATATTCTGGAGATATTTAAAAATTCCGATTTGTTCTTTTTTTTTTTTTTCTCTCTCTTGAAAAGTACATCTTAGATATGAATATCATTATGTATTTTATATTACGGGTAACTC